CAGATGCTCCATGGGGGAAAGACAGGCTATCTCCTCCTGTGTGATCTGATGCCTCTGAAAACCTGCTTGAGGGTCAGCTATGTGTCAGTTCTGACTTGACAGTACACACGACAAACTTTCACTGAAGGACTTTTTGTGGTGTAGTTTATTGTGTGGCTAACCAGCATGCCTGTGGTTTGAGTTCTCCAGATGCCCTGAGGGAGAATGATGGGAAGACTCCTTCCATTAAGATTTCTAGCCTCAGAAAGCTAATGGATGTTCTCTGTGAGTCAAATCAACTTGATGGCAGTGAGTTTGCTTCTTCACTGAAAAATGTTTAGCAATCTGCTAAGTGGAATGGGAAAGCAATGTAATCAGGATTACTATGGGCTCAAAATTCTATAATAAATGAAGGTATAATCTTGGGCTTTGTAGGTGAGAACAGAAACATTTTTAATTATGATAACTACAGGGGGGTGGAAAGGACCCCTTAGCTCTAATGAACAGATGAGGTCGTTCCCTTCCTTGGAAAATAGACTCAGCAGCTAACTGATATAATCAACACTGAGAGTGAAAATACATGCCCCTCCCTTTCCCACTTCTTCAGCTTCAGATCATTTTGGGGCTTTTAATCTGTGGCAGCCCTGTCTTTTTTTTTTTAATTTTTATTTTATATTGGTTTGCTTACAAAATTTGTATACATTGGGTTTCACAGTATTCCACATTCATGTTGTTTCATACAATCATTCCCATTCATTATGTTTTATAAAATGAATCACCATTGGACTATGCCCAACCTTATCTTGTCTTTTCAGGTCCCCACCGGATCATTCCCATTTTCTTTACCCCCTGCTTCCACCCACCAAATAGTTCAACCCTGTGATTTCACTCCTACTTACCCTCATCCCTCTGCTCCCACCCCTTCCGCTCTTGGATTTCTATTCATGTTGTACTAGTTATCCTTATATTTTTACAATAATGGTCTTACTTAGTATTTGTTCTTATAAGACTGAGTTAGTTCATTCAGCATAATGCTCTTCAGTTTCTCTCAAGTTATGTAGTGTTTCTGAAATTATTGCTCCTGAGTGCATAGTATTCTATTGTGTGAAAGTCTATGTTTCTATGAGATCTTCCCCCAGGCTCTTTGTAATTGGATCCTGACTCATGCCCCCAGGTTGCTATACTGTCTGTTGTTGTTATGTGCTGTTAAGTTGCCTGCAACTCACAGCAACCTTATGTACAAGGGCTCTGAAGCCTGCCCTATTCTGAGCCAGTTTCCCTAACTCCGATACACCTACCCACATTACCCCAGTTAATGGGTCAATCCATCTCACTCTGGGTCTTCCTCTCCTGCCCTGTCCCTCCACTCTTCTGAGTATGATGTCCTTCTCCAAGGACCAGTCTCTCCTGACCACGTGCCCAAAGTATGTGAGACAGAACTTCAGAATCCTACCTTACAAGGAGAAACTTGGTTTCACCCTCTCCCCCCTCTCTAAGACATACCTCGTTTTTTCTGTTCATGGTCTATTGTATGTTCAATACTCTTCTCCAGCATCACAACTCAACAGCATTGATTCTTGTTCTGTCATCCTTAGTCATTGTCTAGCTCCCTGATGCATAGCAATTAATTGTGAAGACCATGACCTGGGTCAGGCATAACTTAGTCTCTAGACTGGCATAGTTGCTTCTCAGTACTTTGGAGAGGTCCCTTACTACAAGTTTTCCCAGTGTAGTTAGTCTTTCAATTTCCTGACTGATGGTTCTAAGAGTATTGATTGTGGAGCTGAGCAAGCTGAAATTGTTAAAAACCTCAATCTCTTCTCCATCTACCATGGTGCTGCCCATTGGCCCAGTGGTGAGGATCTATGTCTTCTTAATGCTGAGCTTCAGTCCATATTGGAGACTACAGCTCTTGACTTTTTGAAGCAAGCACTTCAGGTCCTCCTCATTTTCAGCAAGCCAGGTTGTGTCATCGGCATAATGCAGGTTGTTGGTGATTCTCCAATTCTGAAGCCACATTCCTCCTCATAAAGCCCCACCTCCCAAATGACCTGTTCTGCATATAAATTGATAAGGTATGGAGACAGGACATATCCCTGATGCACTCCCTTACTGATTTTGAACCATGCAGTGTTTTCTTGCTCTGTTTGAGGACTGCTTCTGTTCCAAGTATAGGATTTGCATGAACACAGTCAAGTGTCCTGGGATTCCCATTCTCCTCAAAGTTACCCACAATTTGTTGTGACGCACACAGTCCAGCCTTGAATAAAAGTTGGAGTAAAGAATTAATGTCTGCAAAACAACTATGAGATACCATCTCACCCCAGTCAGAATAACAAAATTTAACAGAACAGCAAGCAACAAATGCTGGCGAGGTTGTGGAGAAACTGGAACCCTTATTCACAGTTGGTGGGAGTGTAAAATGGTGCAACCACTGTGGAAGGTGGTATGGTGCTTTCTCAAAAAGTTGTAAATAGAAATACCATTTGACCCAGCAATTCCACTACTGGGAATATATCCCAAAGAGACCATAACTGACATCCAAGCAGATATATACACACCCATGTTTATCGCGGCTCTGTTCACAATAGCAAGGAGTTGGAAACAACCCAGGTGCCCATCAACAAACGAATGGATAGAGAAGCTGTGGTATATTCACACAATGGAATACTATGCTGCATTGAAAAACAAGGAACTCATTCAATATTATTCAAAATGGGTGACCCTGGAGGACATTATGCTGAGTGAAATATCTCAGTCGCAAAAGGACAAATATTGCACGGTGCCACTGTTGTAAAATGGGACTGATATCAGGGTGGGAGTAAGACTGAGAAAAACTGGATAAGCTGTGTATACTACACTGAAACAGATGAGGGAGTGAATAATTTAAAAGCGATGTATGATAGGGTCTTACGGTTATCATAAGAGTCCACAATTAAGGTTGCATAGTGGAATGTACTTGGGGCGGTGGGAGGGGTGTGGGGGGATTATGTCCCAAGGAGGGAGTGTTTCTTTTACTTTTGAAAGAGAGGAGTGAACTGGGGGGCGGGGGGGTGGAGGCCTGGGCGGGGAGAGAAGTGCAGCATTGAATGAATGGAAATCCAAAATCTCTGTAAATGCTCATTAAAATGATTTTTTAAAAAAGAATTAATGTCTGCCTTTATAAAAAACACTTGTTAGATTTTATGTGAATGTGATTTTAGAGATCTCTTTTGTTGTAAGCTTGACTTTATAATTGAAAGAGAATTTTTGTCTTGTTTAAAAGACGGTAACACAAAATAACAGAATGATACATGTGTTGTTGTGGAAATTAAAAGGAAGGTTTTCCTACTATACCTAGTGATAATAAAGAGGAGAAAAGAGACTCAAAAAGGAGCAGTCCTTAGAATGTGTTGATGAGGAAAAATCAAAGACTTTGTCCCAGGACTCTACCAACTTAAATGATTCCATCCTCTTACAAGAGCATTTACTCCAGAATCTTACAGGGCCTAAACACCCGTATTGTTTTAAGGGTCTTGGGGAAAGTATTTGCTGATTCTTGGAATCATAGTCCTGGGACATCAAGGTCAATTGGCATAGCATAATCCACATGGACAATCCTATAAATCCTACTTGTTGTTGTGTACCATTGAGTTGGAGCCAACTCATAACTGATCATCCAGTGGGTGTTCAGAGGCAGTTAATTACATTGGAGGAGATTGTCCACCCTTTTCTGGCAGAGCGGTTGGTGGATTTGAACCATATGCCTTTGGGATTGTAGTGTGCAGCTTCTTACCACTAGGATACCAGAGCTCCCTATACACCCTATTTAGCGAATAAAAACTGGGGTCTTAAAAGCTTGGGAGTAGCCAATCCAGAATAAGGAAGAAGGATGAAAATCAAAGTAATAGTGAAACAATTTGTCCAAAGGACTGATAGACCATTTGAATATTAATGTCCATGACCCTGAGGTCAGAAGAACTGGATGGTGCCTGGCTTCTGCAGCTGACCACTCTAAAAGGGATACCAGGAGAAGGTTCTGGGCAGAGTGAGGGGGAATGTGGAACAAAACTCAGAAACAGAAAAGACTAGTCTTTCTGATTCGATGGCATAGCACATCCTCCCAGTTAAAGAGTATAGAAAATATCTGGAAAATATCTAGGGGATGTGCCTAAGGTTTGAGAGACTTGGGAATTTTTCTTTCATCACTATTCAGTACCCTGAGACCCTGACTTAGGTGAGTTGTCTTGAGATGCCACTCCATGTATTTGAGCTGACATAGGATGTTTATGAGTCTGTAGAGCTGACGATTAGATTCTAAGATGAGGTGAACTGACCAAATTAACAGTGACTTCCCAGAAGCTAGCCTTTGAGGAGTGGCTGACTGATTCTCCCTCACCACAAGCTGCACACCCACCCCTATTCACTCTCTTTTCAGTGTACTTTCTTTCACATGATTTTTCTCACTGAATACACTAAAAATCTACTACCTCCCACTTGATAAAGAATTCTGCTGAAACTCCCAGAGAATAAGAAGAGTGATTTAAGTTTGAACACTGTGCCTAGGACAGCAAGTGATAGAACCAGGATTTGACCCAGATCTTCTGATCCTAAATTTATTGCTCTCCTAACATAAAGATTGTGGAAATGATATGAAAAGTAACAAATTCTTGCTTTCTAATCTAATTCTCCCCTTCCCCCAATCCTACTTTGGAAAGCACTTTTCCTGAAATGAATGTGGTTTAGCAGATAGCATGTTCTACTTTGGTAAGTTAAATTAGGAGTATAATACAAACAGGGGCCCTGATGGCACAGTGGTCAAAGTGCTTGCTCTACAGTTTGGATCCACCAGCTGTTCCAAGTGAGGAAGATGTGACAGTCTACTTCCACAAACTGTGAAAACTCTGGGGCAATTCTACACTGTCACATAGAGTTGCAGTAAGTCAGAATTTACTCCATGATAATGGATTTATTTAATTTTTTCTTTTGGCTTATAATATGAATGGTTCTTAATATTAATGGCTGACAAATTGTGATTACAGAAGCAAGATCAGGAGTGACTTCTGTGGAGAATTCGTCAAATCCAGAGGACATTTGGGACTCTAAGAAGTGGCTACAGAAATATGGATTGAAAGCCCAGAAACTGTCATTTTATGATGTTCTTGCTGATTGTTCCTTCCGCCATGTTGATGGAGTTGTTGATATAAAAGCTAAACCAGAGAATGAGTCTGTGAAGACCAGTGCAGTAAGTAAAGTACATTCCTGGTTGGGAGCTAGGCCTGTCTTTAATCCCTAGGGTTTGTACGTTGTCGTTATTGTTATGTACCATCAAGTTGCAACTGACTCATAGTTCACCCTCTAGTGGGTTTTCAAAGGCTGTAAATAACACGGAAGTAGATTGTCCATCTTTCTCCTGCAGAGCAACTGGTCCCTGTAGGTTGGTAGCCCAACTCTTTACCACTAAGATCTTCCGCAAAGCAAAAGCCAGAGGTAAGATCAAGGTTGCAAGGCAGCATGGAGGGAAACCAATTTGGGTTCCCAGAATAGTACTTGTAGATGGAGATCAAATATGGAAATAGTTTATATCTATATCTATATCTATATCTATATCTATATCTATATCTATATCTACACACACACATTATATGTAAACCAGGCACTGCACTGAACCTGAGAAATTCAAGTATAATGAACCTCAGAATTATTTACAATTATGTAAAAAAAAGGAATGCGTAATTCTCCCAAATTGAATGAAGGAAAAAAACCCCAGTATTTCTAAATCAGTTATTTCTATAGTACTTTTGATTTTCACTGTCTTGAAGATACAGTATTCTATGCACTTGTAGTTTCTCTGTAAATATAAAATAACATCTTCAAAGAGATGATAGCACTTACTTAATTAGAGTATTTTGAAAACTTATGAAAGTGGTAGTTTCCATTGTGCCAAACAGATCTAACTGTCTTCTCAAAATGCCTGACTGGCTCACAAAGGGAGAATATTGATCACTATAAGTAGCTCCTAAATGAGTCAGTAGGATTGAGGTGAGGACCACAGATAGGCATTTAAACAAGGATCCTATTTTGAGAAACTCGAATGTGTAGAACAAGGATCAGGAGATAAAATGTCCAAAGTTTAGAATTACAGAAAGAATGAAAAGTGACACAAATGAATGCTCCAAATTTATAAAGCCAAAGGAGTGTTAGGGTGGTTCAGTGGTAGGATTCTTGCCTTCCATGAAGGGGAACTGAGGCTTGGGGCCAGCCATTGCACCACATGCACCATCTGTGTGTTCAGGGAAGCTTGCGTGTTGCTTGATGCTGTGTACAACAGTGAAACTTCCAAACTAAGATGTACTAGGAAGGAAGGATTGCTGTTCTTCTCCTGAAAACCACTCATTGAAAACTCTGATTTAATCTACAATCAGTCAAGGGAGGGCATTTTGATTCCCTTGTGCATTGTGTGCTGTAAGTTACAGGTCCAGCCCTATGGATGGTCCAGCCCAAGTCAGTTTTGCATGGCAACTCCATATGTTATAGATTAGAAAGGCTCCATTAAGGTTTTATTGATGCAATCTTTTTGGATGTCGATTGCTGAACATCTCTTCTGTGCTGCTACAAAAAATTTAAAAAAAAACAAACAAAAACATCACACCAAAAACAAAAACAAAACCCCAAAAACCCAAAGCCCAAAAACAACAACTACAAGTAGCTCTGTTGGCCTAGTCCAGAGAGAGTTTTGCTGCTGACCCAACAGCAATGGCTGGGTTCACACCATCAGCTTTTGTTAGTTATTGATTTTGTATAGGTTGTTTGCACCATCCAGATACCTAATTGTAATTAACAATTAATATAAACAGCGTGTCAAAGCCACTCACTGCCATCTACTCGATCTGACTCACAGTGACCTTCCTCTGAATTTCTGAGGCTGTAAATTGAAATTGGAGAGTTTGCCAGTCTTTATTCTTGGAGCCACTGGTGCATTTGAACCACCAGAAACACAGAAAGGAGGCTTTGCATTAGTAGTGTGTCCTGCTATGGCTCAAGCCATCAGCACTCTCTTCAGCATTGTGCAATGAGAGTTGAAATGCAAGCAATAGGGTCAACACACTAATGGCTGCAGCCCAGTGGAGAAGACCAGGTAAGGAAATCAAGGTACTCTCAAGTAAACTCGGAGGGAAGATGGGCCGTCTCCTCCCATGCAATTTCCTGCCTCTGAAAACCCTGCTGGAGGGTCAGCTATGAGTTAGTTCCAACTAGATGGGACATAACTACAACAATTCAAGTATGAAGGAACTCAGGTTGCCTAGTGATAAGAAGTGGTAAGAAGCTGTGTTGCCAACCTAAAAGCACATAGTTCAAATCTACCAGCTGTTCCATGAAAGATGTGAGTATCATCTCATGATGTTTACTGCTTCTGTTAACCCATAGTTGGAGGTCCCAACTATGAGTCAGTCCCAACTTGATACGACAAAAACAACAACTCAAATACAGTATCACTTTATATATATATTCTCCAGAAGCTGTAATTTGGAGATCTTGTGAAGGTGAAGCCCCATTCTTTTGGACACTCTTCTCACTGTTATGCTGACTGAACACTAAGCTTCACATGTTCTCTCTAGAGAGGGCCTTCTTGTCAGACATCATTACCTGTGTCATGTGTTTTTTTGCCTTCTTACTGCCATGTTTATTAACTATGAACTGCAAGGAAGAAAATGGAAACTAAATTACAAAAATGTAGGACTGATGCAAAGCTTGTTTCCTGGCTTCCATTAGGATGCAGAGTAATTGCCACAGTGCAGGGAAAATCTTACTTGTGGGTTTCCTTCCACAGCAAAATTTTCTGAGTTGGTAGAAAGTATTCAATAATGTTATTAGTTTAGGAAATCATGTGTAACTAAATTTTCCATTTTAAAATATATTTGATACTGGACATTTATGATTATTAATCCCTGTCAATTTGAATATAGCTGTCCTCAAGCGTGTAACATTGTGCTCAGACTTACCTTGGATACGGATTTTCTCTTTACTGTTTCTTTATGATATTAAGTAAAATTTTATATGGTTTATTAAAAGAAGTGGGCTTATGAAAAATAACTTTCTCCTTAAATACCCTAGTAAAAATTGAAAACTACACAGTAAAATAACCTCTTATATGCATATTAGTGAGAAAGGGACAGTTTTTTTTTAATGCTTGGGGCTACATTTCTGAAACTGGATGTATACCTAATACTTTCATGTGTATAAAGAGAAGAGACTCTGAGGGTACACTGTAAATATTTAGGGCTTATTTAGGGCTCCCACTGGGCAGGCCTTCCTAAAGTATTAGCTGTAAGAGCCTTCTTATAGGTGAAGATCTAGGGAACTCATACAATCTGAGAAATAAATGACTAAAAGGCTTACCAGATAGCCTTTCTAAGATGAATGAACAGGCATGAGAGGAAGGAATAGAATGTGTTTCTGACTGGGGGATTTCAAGCAAAAATCTAGTAACTATGTATTTAAACCTTTGAGATCACATTTAATGTTACAGTTACATGAATGTTTTGTACACCCATGATGTTAAACAATCCACTCTTACCTGCTTATGTATTCAACTGACAAATGTTTGTTGAGACTCTTTCACATGCCAGGTAATATAATATGTGGAAGGAGTCCTGGATTTAAAGTCAGAAGACCAGTTGCAAATGTGGTTCTTCCCATTATGAGAACTTAGGCAACTTTTTTAGCTTCTTTGAGCCTCTCTTTCCATATTTGTAAAATGAGAGACATTGTATGAGATCTGGATTAAAGCAAACCAACACATCTCTGAGTACATGGCACTGAGATGCCCAATAGATATTAGCTTCCTTTTTATTATAAACATTGAGTCATAACATGAGCATTCATGGAATATGCATTACATATGTACTTTACATACAGAGTGAATATTTATGCTTTTATTTTTACACATGAGAAAATAAAGGTTCCAAGCCTCAGAAAGGTTATAAACCTTACCTAAGATATAATGCCTGATAAAGAACTTTCCTTGACAAAGCTTCTCATCTGGTGTGTTTGTGTGTGGTTATGCCATTCAATTGAGGGTAGGGAGAGCCTTAGGTGTAGCAACTTCAGTAACATGGCACCATTGTTTTTCTGGGAGAGACTCTCATACTGCAGTTGAGAGGTGTTTTCTTCTAGTTGTGTCTGAGATCATCAGGACCTTCAACCCTGTTCTTGTCAGTCACCACCAGACTCCAGATTCTTATCACAGAAGGCTGAACATCCTTTCCTGACCATCCTCACCTTCTCTCGGTTTCTTAAACTCCTTCTACTCTGCCCCCTGAGCTTGAAATCATTAGCAAAATCTCTCTACCCCCAAGTTCTCTGTTATTTTCATCTCTCCCTTGAGAACTGTGTAGACCTCCAGAGTGGGAGTTGGTTTTCCCCACTCCCTTGGACTCATGGGATTAGAGGTGTGATGTCATCTTTGCTCCTCCACCGTTTCTTGTCTCTTCTTTTCTCTCTTCCCATGTCATCACACACAATAACTTTGTGGTTGTTCTCTACCACTCCCGGAGCTATCATTACCAGCCCTTGAAGATTTTACCTTTAAGCTTACTACCACTGACTCCAATGCTGTTTTAACTCTTAGTGTCAATATTATTGGATGAATCTTACAATATTCTGGCATTTCATTTATTGATAACTTCTTTCTAAGTAAGTTCTGACACTCCTATAGAATACCCTTGACTGCATCATTACAACTAAATGTACTCATAATATACCTAATCAGGTACAAACAAGCCACTCTCTGATCATAGTTTTCAGAGAATTTTCCCTGCTACCCTAATTTCAATACTCTTTCAACTGGAATGTACAACTTATTGTTTCTACCATCTCTTCTCTGTTCCCTCCACCTTTAGTCCTCATTTCTGCCATATGAGTTTGTGGCTCCCACATATCCTGAAATACCTTGCCCCTACTTTACATCATTGCACACATATTACATCATTGACACATGAGTGGGCTTACATATCTTTCTGAGTCTCATCCAGGATATATCTAGAACAGCATTCCACCTAGAGAACACCTCAGTATATGTTTAGTTGGATTAATGATTTAATGACTTTATGGTGAGGCAAGTGCCAAGAGACTTGGGTACTATTTGGAGACTTTAAAAAATGGTTTCTAAGTGACTTTCTAGTCACTTAGAATTAAACTTGGAAGTTACCAGGTTTTAATTTAACGCTATGGGTTTGGATGAGA